GAATAACGATATTTGTTGCACAATGTATTTTCATAAAAAACTTTTGAAAACCTGAGATGTATAAATACTAGTAATAGTAGAGTGATTCTTTGAAAGTGACCTATCCAAATTGACAATTTTAATGCTGCTTATCGAAGAAAAAGTACCTTTTTGTGTTCTTATAACGGTACATTCAGAGTTAGATCCGAAAAGGCACTGTCAGATTCTAACAAGAGCAGCAAATGCACTCGGCAAAAACTGATTTTCGAAACGGTGGCTGTTACAGAGTTACGTGACATCATCTGCAATTTAAGCAAACTAAAATTTCGTATGCGCTCGAACTATTCCAAAATAACATTGCAGGGGATTATTAAAGAAGGGCACGTGAGATGGAACTCACGAAAAGTGAGCATCCATTAAATTTAAACGACTGAATAAATTCAAACAAAAATTACAGGAGAATACTTATCAGAGTAACTGTGCTAAGTTATTCCCAGAATTTCTGTAGAAGATTTGGTGAATTGTGAAACTGGAAGCGGTTTTAGTTATAGAGAGTCCCGTAAAAACACAATGCTCAAGTTATACAAGGTGTCCCATTTTAATGTGTTAGGCCGCTTCATTTTTTTAATTTATAAAAAAATATTTCGAACAAAACTTATCAAGTTTCGAGAGGGTCAAATTATGGTGACCTTGAATTTGATCTGGAAGTCAATTATCAAGGACAAGCGGTTCTAGTTATAGAGAATCCCGTAAAAAACAATGTTCAAGTCATACAAGGTGTCCCATTTTAATGTTTTAGTCCCAATAATTTTTTTAATTTATAAAAATATATTTTGAAGAAAACTTATCATGTTTCGAGAGGGTCAAATTATGGCGACCTTGAATTTGACCTTAAAGTTAATTATCAAGGACAGTTCAAGGTCAACCTTGATTTTTTAAATGGAAACCCATATTTATTGCAGATTCGTATTCTGCGGGAAAAATACGTAACTTTAGTAGGAAACATATTTTTGAAATGCTTTGTTCTGTCGCCAAAGTGCGCTATACTTTTACTGTTCCATTTTAATTCTCAGGCTAATAAGCAGGATGGTGAAAAATATTTCCAACAAAAGTTGTCAGGTTTCGGGGGGATCAAATTACCGTGACCCTGAAATTAACCTTAAAATCAATTGCCAAGGTCATTTCAAGGTCAACGCTTTTGCACTGCGGCGCGCGGCGACTTCGATGTCAAAGGTACAGTTGACCGTCGCACTAGGGACGGCTTTAAATTTGTTTAAACCTTCATGTGATCTTTTTTTCTATTTAAAACGTAATGTCTAAGATCATTGCTTAATAAAAGTTGCTCATTTTCATGTCCTCTATGGCCCTTTTTAAGGAACGCACTTATTTCAGAAACATCCTCTATGTGGATTTTTAATTATTCTTTTCCAGCATTGATTTACTGTAACGTTTTAGTTTTACAATAAAACCGATTTTCTTGATCCATTCACAACTGATTCAAGAAATTTGAGGAATACCTTCAAAGGACTGCATTCAAAGAGATACCCATTAAATATAAGGTTGTAGCAGACTTTGGAACTTCTGGAAATTGGGGGCCTTCTAGTATCCATCAAGGGTTACAGGACGGATACGGTACTGGGTGAATGAATCCTACTGTGTGCAGTATTTGTGGATTAGAAAATTAGGTTTATGTCCTATAAAATAAGCTCGGGTCATTTGTGGTTTGGTTTGCAGTTTGAATCCGCCGAATGTAGAACCTTATCTAATTTTTAGGTTCTGAGGTGATTTTCTGATGTTGTACTCGATGCTGAAGTGTTGATTGGACCTTGCATATTCGAAATATGTAATAAACCCTTTGAATATGACGCGTCGACATGGTTTCAAGGTTGTTTGTGCCCAAGGATGTAGTTCTGTTTGCTTTTTCGGTTTAGGGATGGTTTTTGGTAATTACAAAAAACTGGAGGATGTGNGCGAGAGCTCGCGTACTCGCTATCTAAACCGACCGCTTTTTCCCTAGCGCAAAAAGTTTTCGCTATAAATTCTTTTTATTTGTTGTCGTGCCTCAATTAATAATAATGATAATGTTTAATTTTTAACCCCGAAATTTACATTATAAAAATGTAATAGTCCCGTAAAAAAACAGTGTCATAGAAGGTGTCCCATTATATCAGGCCGCATATTTTTTTTAATTTATAAAAAAAATTATTTCGAACAAAACTTATCAGGTTTCGAGAAAGTCAAATTATAGTGACCTTGAATTTGATCTTGAAGTCAATTATCAAGAACATCTCAAGGTTAACCTAGATTTTTTAAATGGAAACCCATATTTATTGCAGATTCGTATTCTGCGGGAAAAAATACGTAACTTTAGTAGGAAAATTTTTTTTGAAAATGCTTTGTTCTGTCGCAGGATGGTGAAAAATATTTCCAACAAAAGTTGTCAGGTTTCGGTAGGACCAAATTACCGTGACCCTGAAATTAACCTTAAAATCAATTGCCAAGGTCATTTCAAGGTCAACGCTTTTGCACTGCGGTGCGCGGTGACTTCGATGTCAAAGGTATAGCTGACTGCCGCACCAGGGACGACTTTAAATTTGTTTAAACCTTCACGAGATCTTTTTTCTATTTAAAACGTAATGTCTAAGATCTTGAATTGCTTAATAAAAGTTGCTCATTTTCATGCCCTCTATGGCCCTTTTTAAGGAACGCACTTATTTCAGAAACATCCTCTATGTGGATTTTTAATTATTCTTTTCCAGCATTGATTTACTGTAACGTTTTAGTTTTACAATAAAACCGATTTTCTTGATCCATTCACAACTGATTCAAGAAATTTGAGGAATACCTTCAAAGGACTGCATTCAAAGAGATACCCATTAAATATAAGGTTGTAGCAGACTTTGGAACTTCTGGAAATTGGGGGCCTTCTAGTATCCATCAAGGGTTACAGGACGGATACGGTACTGGGTGAATGAATCCTACTGTGTGCAGTATTTGTGGATTAGAAAATTAGGTTTATGTCCTATAAAATAAGCTCGGGTCATTTGTGGTTTGGTTTGCAGTTTGAATCCGCCGAATGTAGAACCTTATCTAATTTTTAGGTTCTGGGGTGATTTTCTGATGTTTACTCGATGCTGAAGGGTTGATTGGACCTTGCATATTCGAAATATGTAATAAACCCTTTGAATATGACGCGTCGACATGGTTTCAAGGTTGTTTGTGCCCAAGGATGTAGTTCTGTTTGCTTTTTCGGTTTAGGGATGGTTTTTGGTAATTACAAAAAAGTGGAGGATGTGCTACCGTGGTGCTTAAAAAAAGAAAGAGAAGAAGAAAGAGAAAAGAAAGAAGAAGGGGGAGAAAGGTGGAAGCGGTGGAAAACCCCTCTCCGGAAATCTCTGGGCAACAGTGCACGGCAGCAAGATCTCGTCCCTGTACAAACGTTACCCGACTAAAATTACTGTACAGGGTAGCTTAGATCTTAATTCTCATGGCGTTTAAGGCGATAGTCTGCCAAATGCCCAGAAAAAAGTGTAACTACTACTACTACTACTATTACTGAATAGACCAGAGCTGAGACCAGAAAAGTTAGTACGGATGAAAATAGTTCCTTCCGTGCAATAAAACACGTGTAATCTACTCTAAAATACTATATTACTGTATTAATAAAAATATAACAAAGTACAGCAATTCACTGCTTACACGTTGAAATATGCAATGTCCCTGCTTGTGGACGATTTCTTATCTTACTGCATTTGACAGGACAGGTTACAGAACGCTATAGGTGAATTATGACACGATCAAGGTGACTGGCTAACGCTAAGGCACAAGGCCTGTCAGTAGAATGTACAGTCCGAACGTAAGGAAAATTACAAGCTATAAACACTTTTACCCCTATTGTAGCTACAACATGGTTTACATATAGGCAAGGTTATGTGACTGTCACCTCTTATTCAAATGCAGATAAACACAGTACGCAGTTATAAAACGCAGTGATACATACAGTAATAAAATACAGCAATATACAGGAGGTACGGTAGATCAAACCTTTAATTTAAATGAAAGGATATGCTTATCGTTTCGCCTGTACGTAGTGGGTCTCTCTCTCTCTGCGGAGACCTCTGTAAACGGCAGACGATGGTGGTACACGATGTCAAAGCAGGACGATCTTGGTGGGAAACGAAGAAACTTCAGGTAGGTATGCTACGATGCCTGACGGAGACGTGAGGGCGGAGAGGCACCTCAGCCAGACGAACCCACGGTGTCTCGTAGACGAATAGTTTCTCAAACGGAATTCTCCCGTAAAGAAAAAACCCTTATTTCTGAGGGTTTCCTTCCTGTAAATGACTTCACAGCAATGCGAGATGGGTCTTAATTTCCACACAAGGTTTCCACGAGGTAATTTCTCATGACATAACCACAAAACACGATGCTCAAAACTGTCTCTCACATACAAACGAAAACTCTCTGCAACATCTCAATATCACGGTAACGGTACTTCCAAATATTCCGAGAGTAATTTTACAGCCTGTGATATGAAATCCCACAATGGATAGTTAGAATATTCTCCAAAATTACCACAGCCAAAAGAACTGTCTTCTTTTGACTGTGTCAAAATCGTGCATCGGTCGATAAGGTTCATTTTGCAATCCCCTTCCAGTAGAACCGGTAACAAACTTGACAGTGGCACCAACTTGCGCGAAACAAAATTACTAAACCCACTGACATCACAGAGTACTCCAGGTTATATTAAATCGAAATCGTTTAAAGCAAAATAAGACCGTAACAGATGATGGAGCATTCTCATGACAGACTCGGTTTATGGAACTTATCCCTGGAACAAACCATGTTTTTGCGTGCTTGTGTAATCCATTTTTCAATGAATTTGAATAACAAAAACTTTTTAAACTTGCAGCGTATCATGTTTATAATAGTAAGATTTTGATTTTAACTCAAGAACTCGTTTGACTTATTAGCTATAATATACGACGGCAGCAGTGCTTGAAGGTAGTCGATAAGTGCAACCGGTTATAGTAAATTTGAACCTACCGTGTCTATAGCGATATTGGCTTTTTATAAACATGTTTTCATTTAAAAAAACAATCTTATTTTTTCTTATATTCATCAGATACTGTTGGGGTAAGTCAAACAAATTGTTGTTTGCCAGTAAGTTGTTTATAAATTAAAAAATGTACAGAAATATACACAAAGTACGATCGTTTATAAAAAAATTAAGTCTGCTTTAATGTTTACTACTGTTTTATTGCAACCAAGATCATGTCTTGCGAAAAAGAATTAGTCGTTCAGAAATCTCTTACCTTCTTAAATGGTATATATAGAAGCTAATCATTTTGGTTAGACCAACTATGAATAGAATTTAAATACATATATCCTGTGCATATTGTGGTTCATCTCCTTAAGAACTCAAATTTATCATCTAAGTTCTTACATATCAGTTCAAAATATTCAATAATCAATTATTTCCATTTAAAATAAATAATAAAAACCAGTTTCAAATTTTAAGCAGTCCTCGAAATTTTAAATTTAGATTCACATTTAGTTTGGCAATCTTTAATTAATCTAAGAAATTAGGACAGTACAATTTTTAGATTTATTTAAAAAATTAAAGGTTTTCTGATATATTGTCTATATTTATTTATTTGTGCCACTTTTTTGTTTAATTAAGTATTTCTCTTACACTGAAAAGAAACATTTTATTATTTAACCTCTCTGTTCTCGTTTTCAAAACTGCAGTAAAATTAAGTCAAATGTGATAGTTTTTAGGAAAAAAAAAGTGTGAGATATTTGTGGTTTGGCAAAATTAAATTTAGAAATTCAACCCCTTAACTAATTCTTTTGGGACAAGGAGTTATTTATTTAAAATTTCTTTTCATTATGGTAGAAATACCGAAGTAAATAAGAACATTATATTTCGAACCTGTGAAAATACTTAAAAAAATTTATGGCGAAGAGTATATACTATTGCGCCAAGGGATCAGTCAAGGCTTATTTTTATGAAAATAGTTTTGCCGGAAACTAAACCGACAAAAGAAGACAGCAAATTCTAGGGATGATTTCATATCAATTTGGCATAAATCGCCTTATCCAAAAATGCTTCCTAAGGGAGGTAGGGCTCTTTGAAAATGGCCCTTTGATATTTTTTCTAATCGTTCAGATAGCTGTTCATCTAGAAGGAGACTTAGATTATGTATTAACTCTTATACGGACAGACTTTTGATGTAAAAATGATCTTTTAATTTAACCATAGGCGTCACATTTGGGAGGGTCGACTGATTTTTAATTATATTTTGTTATCTTCCACTTTTTGGTATTTTTAATATTAAAATCGAAAACTCCGGAGTATTCTAGATTAAAGAGCTACTCTTGCCTTGAGTGGCTAGGGTTTACTGTATGCGAGAAAAATCTGTTTGAAATGTCTGTGTTTCATTTTTGTACGATGATTACAAAATTACAAATTATTTGCTAATATTTAGTAGTTGGCTTTGGAAAACAGATAAAGTAAAATTCACAGACCTTAGCCACTTTTAGAGTACATTTTTCATCTAGAATACTCTGAAGTTTTTGATTTTGATATAAAAAACATCAGCGAACTCTCCCAAATGCGACATCTACGGTTATAATTAAAAGATTATTTTTATATCAAAGGGCTGTCCGTATGAGAGTTAACACATAACCTAAGTTTGATCCTTCTAGATAAACAGTGATCTGGAGAATAAAAAAAAACATGCTAAAGAGCCATCTTCAAAGAACCCTTCCTTATTTAGAAAACATTTTTGGATAATACGATTTATGTGAAATCGATACGAAATCATCCCTAGAATTCGCTGCCTTCGTCTGTCGGTTTAGTTTCCGGATACCCTGTATATTTGTATTTGTCTGCTTCTTTGAATGTAGGTAAGATTTTTGATTAGGTAAAATTATTTTCATAAAAATCACCCACCACCAATCTTTTTGGCTCAAAAGCTTATTTATTAGTTTTTTGACAGGTGGCAAAATACGTAATAAATAAAGACAAAACAACTCATTGTATTTAGATTAAATTTTTGCATTTTAACAGGAAAAAAGTTTGACATAGACAAATCTAAGTCCCATCCGGATAATGGAGATGTTTATGACAACTGCCTGGAGCTCACAACGGGCGTTTATGAAACTATAATATTGGAATGTCTCAAAAAAGAGTCAGTTCATCATTGTTGCCCCCACGTTATCACCCAGAAATACCAGAACAGATTTTCTGCACGGGATAAAAAGGTTTGATTTTTGATATTTACATATCTAGTCCAGTCCGGTATCTGCTTTGGGATGGATGTATTATATAGCAACGCTAATTTTTGTTGGGAATAGTTCTAAATATTATGTGGAATAATAATTGCCATGTGCGCCCACTGAACATGTTTGCGCATAATTGTTAGCGCAAGAAAATGTCTAAAAAAATAATTAAACGTGCATTTTTCTCCATTCCTTCATTTATAACTCGGAGAATATTGACATTAGAGGAAATAGTTAAAGGAAAAAAAGTTTCGTTTCGAGATTCTCTTTAAAATATAAGGAGTCCGGAATTTTTAGGTGCATTATTGTTACTGCAATATAGACCGAAAAAAAATTCGTGAATAAAAATCGTTTTTTTTTTCGTGAATTTATTTCGGACCTTGACTTTAGAGCAGCCATATAAAAAGTATGGTTCTGCGCACTTCATGGTATGGTAGTATTACAGAAATTTTTTCATAGAAATCGGCCGGGTAGATTTTGCACAATTATTGAATTGTTAATTAAGAAAATACAGAATTATATTTATTTTTCAATTCTCTGTCACGGTAAAACCAATGTTTATTTTGAGCTCCCAATTTTTATACATACCCTTTGGAGTCTAAACTATCCATCCCCATTTAAAAATTTTCGATTTTATCCAATTTAGAATTTTTTTATACTAATATACTTATAAAAAACTGGAGCAACTGTATTTGCATCCACTGTTGATCTTGTGGATACGATGAATCGTCATCGAGATATGAAAGCTCAAAATTGAAGTGAGTTTTGATTGTTTGACACAAAGACTTTATAACTAACTCTGAAAATTTGTTTTAATCGTAAATGTATTTTAACTGTTCTGATGCAAAAGAGATTGATACATTTCACAGGAACCGAGCAGAGAGTCAAAGTGTGAAGAGTGGAGGACTATGCGAGAGGAGCAGCATAATAATTCACTCGAGCAACTTCAATCGACTTTTTCTCAGCTTCTACAACAGATAAATAGATGATTTTTTTTAATCGATAGAGGAAAGCAAGATTCGAATTTTGTAATGTCGACGCAAAATAAAGAACATTTTCAAATTAAAAAAAAATACAAAGAAGCCCCTATTTTTCAAAAACTACATAGTTTTTACATTATTTGTACATCATTTTTTTGTATTCGGGAAATATTATATTCAGAATAAATGCTAATCTTGAAATGAAACATCATATTTAAGAATTTATCTCAATGAGAACTATGTAGTTTTTGAAAAATAGAGGCTATATATTTTTTTTAATTTGAAAATTAAAGGTTCTTTATTTTGCATATAAATTTAAATTGGAAGTTTTTTTTTTTGAAAAGTATAATTCTGTATTTTTTAATTAACAATTCAATTGTGCAAAATCTACCCGGGCGGTTTCGATTAAAAAATTTCTGCAATACCACCATATCATGAATACTCAGAACCCTACTCTTTATATGGCTGCTCTAAAGTAAGGGTCCGAAATAAATTCATGAAAAAACTAAATTTTTTCACAAATTTTTTTTCGGTCTATATTATATTGCAGCAACAATAATGCACATAAAAATTTCGGACCACTGTTATTTTGATCTCAATCTCAAAACGAAAATTTTTTCGTATGACTATTTCTCCAATGTCAATATTCTCCGAGTTATACATGAAAGAAAAGAGAAAAGTACGCCTTTAAAAAAAATTTTTCTCATTTTCTTGCGCTAACAATTATGCACATCTTTTTCAGAAGGCGCATATCGCAATTATCATTCTACATAATATTTAGAACTATTTCCAAAAAAAAAAATTGCGTTACTATATGAAACAACTACAACCATACAACTTACTTTTAAAACAGATATCGACTGGACTAATCACCCAATGAAGGTGATGTAGATTTGTAGTTGCGTTAGTCAGAACATAATTAAAAAATCGCTAATCAATTTTGTGCCGCATTTAACAACGAACGCAAATAATAAGTATCGTTTTGTTTGCTAAAATTAAATTCGTATGATGTAATAGAGCTTTATTTTAAAGAAAAACTTTATACAAGTGTATTTCTATGTAAAATGGATCACATTGTATATAACTTATTTATGTATTTTATGGATTTTTTATTTTTCATGCGATTTCTATTCAAAAATTGAATTAACAGGTACCAGATTTTTAATATATATTAAGTGATAAAATGCGCAGCTTTTAGTCGACCAGATAAAGTGTTGACAATACCTTATTTAATTTTTAATGAATGAATATTTCGCAAGTTGCAGCACTCCCACAGTCTGATGCCGCGAGCCGCCGCTTTACCAAGAATAATTCAAGCACCTAGAAACGGGCGACCCCAACCCAACATCTAATGATATATCATCAAATATATATAATTTTCTTAATGAAATATATTTATAAGTACTAATTAATAAGTCTACTATTATATCTATACAGGATGACTCAGAACATCCGAAAAAAATGTGTACAGGAGACTCTTATAAATCAAATTATGTAAAAAAAATCTAAAAGGGCGAACATGATTTAAAAATACTCGGCACTGGAAACTGGTCCACTGTAAAACCTGTCCTTGCGCAAGGCAAAGCATATAATCGGCGACTGGCACGGCGGCAAAGAGTGATAAAAAATTAACGGACAAAAAATTGAAAGAATTTCTTTCCTAAGGAAAGAAATAAATAAAATTTTATAACATATATATTATTATATCAGCATATTCAACCGCTTTTTGCCGCTATTATCGTTATTAATTAATAGAATTAATTTGTGGTTTGCATTAATAAAATAATTTGACATACCCGATGTTACAACAACTGTTCAAAATTTTATCCACCGGCGTGTAAACACATTTGGGCCCGTCATACCCAGTTTATACGAACTAACACAAATGTTGTTTTGCTTCACCATAACACAAACGCTTCACTATAACACAAATGTTGTCTTGCTTCACCATAAATTAAAACGATATCCATCAACTCCCAGTTGCTATACAGATAAGCCATTTTTGACACTTGGAAAAGTCCAACGATGTAAGGGTTTTAAATACTACAACTTCAATATTTTTTTTTTCTCGGGAATTATAAGGATTTCATAAATTTTTTTTTACGATATTGACTCAATTTTTCGCGACGCATCTATTCTCAAAGTTTTGTATATGTTTATGTTTAATATCTAAAACATTATCAACATCAATTTCCTCATAAAATACGGTATTAAATACAGTGGTAAAGTTGCAACCATTCAATTTAAATCAACTTCTAAACTAGCTCTTTGTTCTTTTTTTACTTCATGTACAAGTTGAAAGTCGACCAAGGCACATCACTGTTTTCTAGGATGATCCCAGAAAAGAATGTTGCGTTGAATTGCTGGCCCTAGCACAGATTCATGTATAAATATTTTTAGAAAATTTAAAATTTTTACCTTTTATGGTTTGTGTATTTATGAGATCTGCGATAATAAATCACAATTTTTTACAAATTCTAAAATTCGTAATAAAAACAATAAAGATTATTTACATCTTCCTTATACCAAAGTGTTACAGTGCTTCACATAAAAACCATTCATACCGAAAAAAAATGAATAAATACGAACTTAAATTTTATTTGACTGAACAGTGTCGCAGATTTCTTTAAATAAATGTTTGCTGTATAATTTTGTATTAATTTATATATGTGTATGTATTTATGTACTTGTATATATGTTTATTTATGTATATATGTGTTATTTGTTTAAACTGTAACGTTTAACCTTTCTTACAAGAATAAATAATTTTTGAGTTTGGTGCGTGAAGCAATAAAAATCACCTTGATGTAAAACAATGTATTTGTGAATGTTAGATTTCAATTTGCTGCTCTTTTCCTGCTGTTGATGCAGGGAATGAATTGTTTGAAAGTTATTTTTTATTGCTTCACGCATCCGTATAAGATGTACCAAATATGAATAAGAAAAGTCAACTCGCTGATTGTATCATTGAAAGACCACTGTAAAAGTAAAACTTTAACATCCTATAACTTTTAAACGAAACATTTCTGGATTTTCTGGTAGTTGATTTAAAAATTCAATTGTTTTTTTCCTGAGGAATCTGTGGCTGTTGTATGACCACATTTTTATGGAACATCATGTACGTATATGCATAAATGTTTTTCGTTCATAAAATCCTCCGCCGCACAGATATCATGGTCATATAAATAAGGAAATGTAAGCAATTTAAAATCACCTATCTATAATTTACACTACTGATGTAAATACATATTCTCCTGACTAGGCACGGTAAAGTAGAAGGTTAATGTTGTGTTTAGCTTGGCATCTTAAAAAAAATGTGTAGCTGATGTAAAATTAAAAATAAATATTTTAGGTGTTTCATTTTATTCTTCCGAAATGTTGTATAATGTCTTTAATTGTTGCTATTACGTTATTACTCAGATATTGTCCGAAGTTATTCATTTGCGTCATAATTTCAGTTTTTTCATTAGTTATTTCGGTATTTTGCGACCTGTGAGAAAACAATAATTACTAATAATTACTAATAATTAATAATTATTTACAAACGGAATATGTTTGAAAGTACTTTGTGAATTTAGATCGTTGTTGTAAGAAGTAAGTAATAATAGTATAATCATCATAATATATGATGTCTCTACTTAGCTGTGAAAAACATACTAACCTTGAAATAACATCTAATTTTTGATCAAGAACTCTTCTTGGTTATAATCCGTGCGGTTACAGATAGTTGACATTTATAAATACAACCGGTTAGTAAAAATTTTAATTGCGTCGTTCTATAACCATGCTTTCCTCTGTGATAAGTCAAATAAGTTATTACTTGAGTTTATAAATAAAATGCCACTACAGCATCTTCAAACACCGAGCATTTAATTGCCAATTTTCTACCACTAAAATATTTATAAACTACACTGAGAAAATTATTATCTCGTATCAAGCCAGCCTGCAAGTTCAGGTATGATTGGTTTTAACCTAATAGGTACTGCGACAAATGCACTAAAATAAATAGGAACATGTTTATTTTAATATTAATGTGCCTTCATTAGTTACCAGCAAACTTATTAAACCGGTTAAAAGGAAACGGGCCCATTTAACTTTAATAACTAGTCAGTTTGATTTCAATGAGGCTTTTTTATCATATGTGTTGTTTTCATAAAGTTGTGCGCAAGTCAAGTGCCTACAAACTACTGAAGCAAACTCATCCAAACTTACTCATATCTATGAAATTTATTTAACGGACCACCATTTATTCCTAGTTCCTTTTTTTAATTTAGTTAGTTGTTTCTTTGGTTTTTTTTGGGCCCAAAGGTTTTATTAACCCGGGGCCGGAAGTTTCTTGTTTTCAGGTTGGGGGGGTTTATTTTTTTTGAAAAATATCACATTGTTTCTTTTTTTTTTTGAGTTTTTTCGTTGGTTTACGGAACTTTGGGGAATTTTTTTACTTATTTATGGTGATAATTTGGTATATTTCTATATAATTCTGTCAACCAGTGGCGGAGATTCAGGGGAGCTTTGCCATTAAAACCCTCAGAAAAATTACGCCACTAGATTTTCAGGAAAATTAATAGGCGCGTTTCATTTACTGTCATATTTTTAATAAAAAAAAGTCTCGTGCATTTTCTTTACACAATAAACCATTTTCGAGTTATAATTTTTTTTTTCATATTTAATTTTAAAATAATTTCTAATATTCCATGGCTTTGAATCATGGGCTGTCATATTAATATGACAAGTCATTAAATTACTCAGTTAAGAAGTTCAATTTACTTTTTATGTTATCACTGTAACTGTAAAGAGTTTAAAATATGTATACTAATTTAGAAATGGCAGATGTATTTTATTTATGGTAAAGCAAATAGAGCTAAAAATTTATATCAAAAAAACATTTCCAAACCGAAGACTTCCAGATAGACGCATGTTTATTGAAATTCATGGGCGTCTTGTAGAAAATGAAGCATTTTCATATCAGCAAAGATCCGGGCTTGCCATTACCATCAGAACATCAAAATTGGAAGAGGTTGTATTAATATAGATTGAAAATAATCCCCAGACTAGCACAAGAATCATTGCACGCGATCTTCAAGTGAGTTATACAACAATTTGGAGAATTTTGAAAGGCCAATTACTATATCTCTATCACATACATTGAGTACAAGTACTTCTTCCTCGTGATTTTCCCCGCCGAAAAAAAATGATGCCAATGTAAGCAAACCATGATAAACCAAAATCCTTTCTTTTTAAGCCAGGTATTGTTTACAGATGAGCTCAACTTTTCGAGAGATGGTTTTAAGTTACCACAATAATCACTTTTATGCAGATGAAAATCCCCACATGATAATTGAAAACAAGCATTATGCGTGATTTCTTAATTGGTCCGGTTTCCAAAATCACATGAATGAACTCCTGAAAAACGTTCCAATTGAAGTCAAACAAAGAATGGTGTTTATGCACGACGGAGCACCAGTTCATTTCAGTAAAGTTGACTGAAAATGTTTTCAACCAATGAATTGAACGAAACGGACCTTACCCTTGGCCTGCTCGATCTCCTGACTTAAATCCGCTTACTTATACCGGTATTAACTGTATTAACTATATTATGCAAGTGCTGAAATTATTTTGTTTGAAATCAGTGATATTGGACGAGTCCACAAAACTAGAAAATTAAGGAATGGAGAATTAATAAAGCCTCATTTAAAAATACTACTACTAACAAGAACAGAGAGAGGGTTGACAATGAAATCACAAATCTGTTTCAGTATTGGTACATATACTGTACATATCAAAAGTAAATGAACTTTTTAGAGCTAAACGGCGTTTCGAACATCATATATTTTTACCGGTTTTAGAATTAGGACGATGACCTATTGGAATGTTTAGAAGTATCACATTCCTTATGTGGAATGTTATGAAGTGATGTTATATTATATGCTATATTGGTAAGATATTTGCTTATCCCATCTGCATATAAGTTTGAATGGTCTCTGTTCTCTATTTATTTTATATTAAAATACAGTGGCGGAGCGTGAACATTGATTGAATGTGTTCTGCTTAGGGTTGTTACATTTGTTGAATTGAATTCCGGGATATTAAGTGCCCGGAGTTTCTAAATGGCACCGCAGGCGGAAAATTTTAAAATTTTCAAGGTCACGCGTTTTCCTGGCACTTCTGAATTTCAAGGAACAATGAATTTATAAAAAAAATACATATTTTCACAAGAATGATTTTTGAAATTGATACCTTTTTGAAATATCCATTTACGAATTACCTACTGATGGTATAATAAATTGGAATAAACTAAATATATTTTATTAAATTATTGAATATTGTTTATAAAAAAAAATCGTTTGTGAAATTTACCAACGATTCAACGAATTTTAATTTTCCTCGGCGTGTTATGATTTTTTCTTTATCTTTTTTTATATATATGTACATTATATTATATTCCGGGAGTTATACGTGCAAATCCGAAATCCGGGACCATACAGCTAATTCCCGGTACAATCACAGAAAATCCCGGTCATACC